TGCCTCACTGTGCTGCTAGCCTCTGCCTTGATGTGAGTTATCTCTGCCCAGCTGCCTGTCTCTGTCCCTCCTACTGTTCTGGATGAATATGTCTTCTTTAACTCCTTGGTTGTCGGACTTCCATACAGTTCCATTCTCTGTCAGTTCTGGTTGTTTTTGTTTTTGCTTTTAAATTGTTGTTGTCCTTCTTTTGCTTTTGCAAGGAAGCACAATATGTCTACCTGTGCCTCTGTCTTGGCTGGAAGTTTCTCCTATTTTAAATGATAGCCTTGCTGGGTAAGTCCTTGTATTTCATTAACTTGAATATTTCACACAATTCTCTTCTGGCCTGAAATGTTTCTGTTGAGTAATCAGATGACAGTCTAATTGGTGCTTCCTTGTAGGTAACTGCCTGCTTTTCTCTTGCAACTAATAGGATTCTCTCCTTGTCTTTTTTTTTTTGTATATTTTATTGATTATGCCATTACAGTTGTTCTATTTCCCCCCTTTCCTTGTCTTGAAGCCTTGTCATTTTAGTTATGATGTGTCTCAGCATAGTCCTCTTTGTGTCCAACTTGTTTGGGACTCCCTAAGCTTCCTGGACTTGTGCAACTTTTTCCTTCACCACATTAGGGAAGTTGTCAGTTATTATTTCTTCAAATATGTTCTCACTCTCTGGCTCGCTTTCTTCTCCTTCTGGTATTCCCATGATGCAAATGTTGTTACACTTCACGTTGTCTAAAATGTGTCTTAAGCTGTCCTCATTTTTTAAATTCTTTTTTCTTTTCACTGCTCTACCTATTTTTTTCTTCCAAATCACTGATTCAGTCCTGTGCTTCATCTAACCTACTGTTTACTCCTCCAAGTATATTATTTATCTCAGATATTATGTTCTTTATTTCTGACTGATTCTTTTTCATGGTTTCTATGTCTTTTTCGTGCTGTCGAGTATCCTTATAATCATTACTCTAAACTCTGTATCTGACAAATTGCTTACTTCCATTTCATCTAGTTCTTGCTGGAAAATTCTCTTGTTCTTTCATATGAGATATCTGTTTTTTCATCTTCCTATTTTGACTGCTTCTTTGTATTTTCTGCCTTAGATGTTAAAGTAATTAGCCACTAACCTGAACAGTTGTTAATGTGATCAATCTGTGATCAGCAGTCAGGCTTAAGCACCACAGGGCAGGGCTGTTGCTTCCTCTCTGGCTGATGCCATTCAGAGAGGAGCACTCTCGCCTGAGAGAGAACTCCTGCTGTATAAGGAGTGATTCAGCACATGGATCCTGACTGCTATTCCCTCTGTTCTCTCCCAGGACTGCCAACCCCAGACTCTCCTCAGGCATCTTTAGTCCACTCTGCCCTCCCTTTGCCAGGACCCAGAGTAAGTGGCTGCAAACAAAATTTTTTGTGTTGGCCCTTTAAAAGGCTCTCTGCATTTCCAGCCATCTCTCTCTGGCCAATAGAACCTGTGCTGTTTTTCATAGCTGGATGTTAATCTGTGTTCCTTTCCAGCTCTGGTGCTGTAGTCTGGGAACTTAGACCCACACTTCTGGTTTAGACCACACACTTCTCAGGGGGAATCCCCCCTGGACACTAAAATATCCCTCTGGAACCTCAGCTGCCACCCTTGGGAGTCTAGCCAGCTCTCTCATATCCTCCACACACCCTACCAGTCACATTGTGCTGAAGTGTTTTCTTCTGTCTGTCTTTGGTTGCAAGGCTTCTCACCAGCTAGTGTTCAGTTGGTTATTCAAGATAATTTCTCTAGAATTTAGTTGTAATTCCAGATTGATCCTAGGAGGAGGTTAGGGTAGCTTCCACTGACTCCTCCACCGTCTTGGATCTCCAGTGTCCGCTTAATTTTTTTAATTAAAAGGGTTGATGTATTTTCTTGCCAAAGATCTTTGACCACATTTGGAAAGGTGGAAGCCAGATATTGTGTTGAGGAGTGAATAGGGGAAAAAAGAAGTGAGTGTGGCTCCTTTAAGAATGGCAGGAGTAGAGGAAGGAATGTTAGGGTGGTTGGTGGCAGTGACTGATCTAGAAGTTTAACTCATTGCAAACAGATTTGGTTCAGACTTCTTTCTGGAGGAGAGCAGAGGAGGTCATGGCTTCCCTGGCAGTCACCACTCTGGTTGGTGACAAGGCCTCCTGAGATATGCTGTCTAGTCCTTTGTTGTGCCAATCAGTTCCAGTGGGCTAAAGGATTTGTTTGTTGGAAGGTCTAGAGGCAGGCAGATTCTTGGCCTCACAGACAACTTTTTAATCGCTATTGTTCTTTACCAAAAAGAAGGTCCAGCCACTTCCTGAGGAACTAGGGGCACTGGCTCCTGGATAATCAGCCCCTCGAGGGAGGGACCTCTGTCATGTTTGTTGCTCAGTCCTCAGGACCCAGTGACAGCAGTGCTCAGCATATGCTTGTAGAACGAATGGAAGCAGCAAAGATGGCAGGTGCCGCCCAGCATTTAGAGAGGCCGGAAAAGTGCCGTAGTGCCCGGATTACTAGTTCACTTAGTCAGTGAGTATTTCATTGTGCCCCTGTCCTCAGGTCTTTCTCTGAAAGGGTATGCCAGGAATCCCTTAGAGCAGGGGTGTCAAACTCATTTTCACTGGGGGCCACATCAGCCTCGAGGTTGCCTTCAAAGGGCTGAATGTAATTTCAACCCCTTAATAGTTAAGGAGTAGTTACATTTATACAGTCCTAAAATTATTTTGGCCCTTTGAAGGCAACAATGAGGCTAATGTAGCCCTTGGGGAAAATGAGTTTGACACCCCTGCCTTAGAAGATGTCCTGGGATTCCACACAGACACCAATAGAACAGCCAAAGCAGCAGCAGGCAGTTTTAAACTGCAGAGTAGGAAAGAGCATCATAGGCTGGAGTGGTGGGGAAAGTGCTCTGAGGCTTCATGGGCAGGGGCAGGGGCAGGGCAAGGCCAGCCCGGTGCAGGGAGCAGCCTCCTTGGAGATGGGGAGACCCTGAGAAAATCCGCCAGGCTGTGGTGCTAGCAGAGCAGCAGGGGTGTAGGGTGGGGATGGCACAGAGGAACTTACTTAGGTGATGAAGTGGTGTGAGACAGACTTCAGGCCACCTTGCGTTAGCAGTGGGGTGGGGTGGCATGATGGTGGCAACCCTCTGCCGGAGTCAGAGGCTCTTAGACTTGGGCAGGCATCAAAATCACATGGAGGGCTATTGAAGCACAGCCTGCTCTGTCCCTCGCCCCGCCCCCAGAGTTTCCGATTCGATAGGTCTGGAGTGGGGCCTGAGATTTGCATTTCTCACTTTTGCTCTTTTTGCTGCTGAGTCAGGGGCCCCACTTTGAAAACAAGCAGCCTAGAATTTTCTTGTTAAGGGTCAGTAATAAACATTTTATCCTCTTAGCTACTCGAGATTTCAGTCACATATTCTTATTTGTCGATTTTTACAACCCGTTTAGCATGTGCAGGCCACTCTTGGCTATAAATAAACAGGCTGGTTGGAGAGGAGGGGTTGTGTAAAGAAGGCAGAGTCTCATTTACTGACTCCCGAGTGGTCCCTTCATGTTCTGTCCTCTGCTCCGTGTTGCATGTCCCTATGCTTTTGTTTTTTATTCTCTGAAACAGACATAATATTGATCGGTCTTACCATATGAGATTCTTATAAGAGTTCAGTGAGCTAAGGCACAAAACAGCATTAACCACAATGCCTGGGACATACCTAGAATTTATTTATTATTTACTATTAGCATTGTAGTGTTCCTACCCATTACCAGTGACTCTTGATAGGCAAGGGAAGGGCAGTGAAAGAGGAAGACCAACATAGATTCACTGCATCGCATCCTGCAAGCGCCAAGATTTTGTTATTTTTTCTTAGGTTGTTCATGAAGAAGAGTCTTCTGAACTGAAACTTATGCACACTGTGAATACCTCCCGGCTTAGTCCCCCTTAGGAGACCCTCGCTCAGCCTTTCCCTTGGCACACTTAGAAAATGGTGTCATTTTTTTAAGCTGGGTGGTTCCTGGGCCCAGGACTCTGCCTGGGGCCAGGGGGGGTTCAATAGCTGGATATCTTAGCCCACCCGCGATTCATTTTCAGCTTCTGCTTCAGCCCTATTTGTTGGGAAGCCTTGAGTTAGGACCCAGCCTGTGCTGATATCAGATTGGATCTGGTTGCACTACCTGTTTTTTTTTTTGTAAATTAAAGTACAGTTGACATACAATAGTATATTTGTTTCAGGTATACAACATACTGATGTATTGACATTTGTATTCCTTACGATGTAATGGGCAGAGGAAACTATACCTTTTAACTTCACTTTGCCTGGTGGTGTAAGTGAAACAGCCACAAGAAAGCAGGCAGGCAAATACTCCGCATTTCCTGTGAGAAGTGCTGCTGAGACGTGAGGTATAGCTTTCGCTCGTGGCGGGGAGAACTGAAAGACCGCCAAGGACCCTGGCACAGCCACTCCGTGCTGGTACCTGGGAGAGGACACCTGGTGGCCCAGAGAGATTCAGCTTGTCTTTGGACACTGCTAATGAAAGCTGGCCATGCATAAGTCATATGAGGGCTCTCTCCCCTTTCCTAGTCTGATTACCCCTGGGGGGCATTCACTTTCTTGCTCACCTGTCCAGCTGCATGCTCTAATCCTTACCAGAACACAGAATAATGACTTTGTAAGCTCACATTACAGATGTACAAAAGTGCCCTGGGGCGATACAACTCCACCCTCCACTTGAGTTTCTGCTGACGTTCAATGAAATATCCTTCTATCTACTCCTTACCTTGCAAAACAAACTTCCTGTTTTGAACTTGGGCCAGACTGGAACAGTCCTGCTACACTTGTTAACACACTGAGACACACATTTCCTCCTCTGTATTTATACAGCTTTTCGTCCCTTGGATACTAAAGTAGCAAATTAAGAAAAGAAGGAAGTTCACGTTTTAGAGTTAAGTGAAACCAGGGTTTCTGGTTTATTTTACCGTGTTTTGTTTTGCCTGTTTTGCCACAAACCACAGTGCTAACCTTCCTCCTTCTTCACAGCAGAATGAAAGAGAGGAGAGGAAATTGACTGACGCAGGAGCCGGAATGAGATGTACAGAACCACCGTGAACATGCGTTTCTCTTCTGCGCTTTAAGAGCCAACGGCAGGTGAAGTTGCCGGAGAGCAATGGCTCTCTTTACTCCATGGAAGTTGTCCTCTCAGAAGCTGGGCTTTTTCCTTGTGACTTTTGGCTTTATTTGGGGTATGATGCTCCTGCATTTTACCATCCAGCAGCGAACTCAGCCTGAGAGCAGCTCCATGCTGCGTGAGCAGATCCTGGACCTCAGCAAGAGGTACATCAAGGCACTGGCAGAAGAAAATAGGAATGTGGTAGACGGACCATATGCTGGTGTCATGACAGCTTATGGTAAGTGCTGTGCTTCTGGGCTTGATTGAACATGGTTTTGCCCCGAAAGGACCCTAGAGTCTTTCAGACTTGGTCTTGTCATGGATTGAGTGTGTCCCTTGCCACCACCTTCATGGTAGTGAATTGCACACAGAGGGACACTTTTTTAAAGTTGAAGCAATGCCCTTTGGGAGGGTCTAAGCTTTTGTACACGCTGACAGCCCCAGGAGCAATGGGGAGAACAGTTAGCATTCTATTGCTTGTATTTGCAGCTACCTTTTCCTTCCTCAACATATTTCTGGATTGTATGATTTTGTCTGGGAGAATGATCAGGAACTGTAGAAAAATATTCTCATTATCTTTCCCTAAACAAAACTTAATTAGAACTGGTAGATTGAGGTAAAGAGGCTGGGGAGGAATGTTGTGTGGATACAGAGAAACTCAGAGCTGATGCGTACCTCCCTCTGGCTAATGTGCAGGACCTCAGGACTGCGTGCTGGCTAATAGCTTTAACCTTTGACTTCTTCAGAGTTTATTGCTCGTATTTCTTGCCCTGGACTCTAAGTGTTCGCTTTGAAAGAAATCTTTTTGTACTTGTTGCTTTTTTTGTCAGTTGGTTTAAACCCTTTTTAAAATGAGGTTCAGTAAAAAAATATGCATATGCTATTTCATTTATTTTTCTTTTGGCAAAATTTATGCTTTTTAAAAATATATATATTTTATTGATCATGTCATTACACTTGTTCTATTTCCCCCCTTCATTCCCCTCTACCCTGCACACCCCTCCCCCACTATTCTCCCCCTTTAGTCTATGTTCACGTGTCTCAAGTTCTTTAGATTCTGTATTTCCCATACTATTCTTGCCCTCCCCCCATCCATTTTCTACCTACTGTCTATGCTACTTATTTTCTGTACCTTCTCCCCCCTTCTACTCCTCCCACTCCCCTGCTGCTAACCCTCCATATGATCTTCATTTCTATGGTTCTGCTCCTGATCTAGCTGTCCTTTTAGTTTGCTTTTACTTTAGGTGTGGTTGTTAATAACTATGAGTTTACTGTCCTTTCACTGCTCATATTTTTTATCTTCTTTTTCTTAGATAAGTTTCTTTAATATTTCATCTAATAAGGGCTTGGTGATATGAACTCCTTGAATTTGACCTTATCTGAGAAGCACTTTATCTGCCCTTCCATTCTAAATGAAAGCTTTGCTGGATAGATCAATCTTGGTTGTAGGTCTTTAGATTTCATGAGTTGGAATACTTCTTTCCAGCCCCTTCTTGCCTGTAAGGTCTCTTTTGAGAAATCTACTGACAGTCTGATGGGAGCTCCTTTGTAGGTGACTGTCCCCTTGTCTCTTGCTGCTTCTAAGATTCTCTCCTTCATTTTAATCTTGGCTAATGTAATTATGATGTGCCTTGGTGTGTTCCTTCTTGGGTCCAACTTCTTTGGGACTCTCTGAGCTTCCTGGATTTCCTGGAAGTCTATTTCCCTTGCCAGATTGGGGAAGTTCTTCTTTATTATTTGTTCAAATAAGTTTTCCAGTTGTTGCTCTTCTTCTTCCCCTTCTGGTACCCCTATAATTTGGATGTTGGAGCATTTAAAATGTCCTGGAGGTTCCTAAGCCTCTCCTCATTTTTTTGAATTCTTGTTTCTTCATATTTTTCTGTTTGGCCATTTTTTTTCTTCCTTCTGGTCTACTCCCTTGATTTGAGTCCCAGTTTCCTTTCCATCACTATTGGTTTCCTGTGCATTTCCATTTATTTCAATTAGTTTAGCCTTCATTTGTTCATCTAATTTGTGACTAAGATCAACCAGTTCTGTGAGCATCCTGATCAGTGTTTTGAACTCTGCATCTGATAGGTTGGCTGTCTCTTGGTCGCTTAGAATTATTGGCTCTGGGGCTTTGTGTTGTTCTTGAGCCATAATGTTTTGGTGTGTTCACGCCTGTTACGTACAAGGGGTGAAGCTTTAGGTGTTCACCAGGGCAGGGCAGCCCAGTGGCTGGGTTGTGACACTGCATGTGGGGGCGTGGTCAGAGAGGGACAATGGCAGTCCCCTCTGCTGCTTCCTGCAAGCTGCTGGGGCCTGTATGGTCTGTCTCACTGCTCGCTCCTTTGCCTGGTTTATCTGTACACGAATGTGTGACCGTGGTCAGCCTGCCGCCTCACACCCTCACTGGGTCTGCCCGTTGCAACCCATGCCAGGGATCTGCCAACTGCCACCCACACACCTGGGTCGGTCTGGCTGATTTTTCCTGGGCAACCCCGCGTGTCAGTCGCTGGCTTCGCCCCTCTTACCAGTCTGGCTGAATGGTTCCTTATTGTCAGACTTCTGTATAGTTCAATTTTCTGCATTTTGGTTGCATTTTTTTTTCTTTTACTAAAACTTTGTTGTCTTTAAACTTGGTTGTGCAAGAGGCACAGTGTTTCCACCTTTGCCTCCATCTTAGCTGGAAGTCCTCACGTGGTCTCACAAAATTTATGCTTAATATAGAAAAATTTGGAAGATAAGACCAGCAAAATAAAAATAAAAATAAAAAATAAAATCACACAAAATACTATGCGAAGAAATAACCACAATTAACATTTTTAGTGTATATCTTTGATATTTTATATATGCCTATGAAATTACACATATAAATACATATAGATGCCAAGTACTTACAAAAAACATATATACATAAATACAAAACAAAATTCCAAATGATATTTAGATTATACTGTGTTTTAGAGAAGCCACTTCCCAGCCCTGCTATAGTCACTGAGGATTGGGATGGACTTGATCTGTGGGATGAGCTGTTGCTGTTCAGTGATGTGTGTAGTCCTTGGATGGAGAATTCAGTGGCCTCTGGGTTTTAGATCCTGAGGTGTGATGTAGATGAGATACAAGAATGGGGTTGGGTGAGGAGGAAAACAGTGATGGTCCATCTAGGGACCCAATCAAGGAGTGTCCCCTGACATATGTAGAGTTCAAGTGATGATTCCCGAAATGTACAAATGTATAGTAGCCAGCTGAAGCATGAGTTCAGACACAGGGACTCATGCTCAATTATATATATATATATATATATATATATATATATATATATATATATATATATTATAATTAAGAATATATATATTATAATTAAGTATATATATATATATATTCTTTTCTTTTTGAAAGGATCCAGGAAACTTGGTTAGTTTTTAGTTTTACACACACACATATATATGTGTATTTTTGGCAAGGAGAAAATGGTGGTCTTTAGCATACAATGTGGAAATTCTTTTCCAATGCCTACTGTTTGAGTGCTCACACTGTCTGCATTTAATCTATTCCTTCATGGTGTGGCCATGCCTGTAGACGTTGGCTCCTAATATGTCTAAATACAATGCCACCTTTTTTGATTTGATGGATTAATAAAAGGAAACTCCATTTGGAAAGCTCACATTGAAAAATAACTAAATCATTTTTAGACAATGCTTTTTTAAATTGCTGACTGACTTCAAACTTCTGTAATACAGGGTGGGGCAAAACTAGGTTTATAGTTCTTTGCTGTGGAATGTAATATAATAATAATAATAATAAAATAAACTATGTTTTATGTACTCATACTGTAAACCTAATTTTCCCCCCACTCTCTGTTTCCTGTCTATTATTAGCAAACCACCAGAAAAAATAAATGAAGCCAGCTGTCATGGTTGGTATTACCAGTGTGTAATAGTCAGCGTAACACAATAGATGACAGCTGGGGGCTGGTGCTGGGAAGTGGGGGACCGATCCAAAGGGAAAAAGGACTCAGGGACATGGATGACAGCAGAGTGGTGATTGCAGGGGGTTGGAGGTATAAGAGGGATAAACTGTAATGGGAAAAATATGACAAAAGTAAATCGAAAAGAAGTACAAAATAAAATAGATGCTGTTTTCAAGTATCTGGTTTAGTGTGCCCCATTTGGGAGTGAAAGGGAGTAGTAGCCCAGGACTGGTTTCCTCCTCCCGTTTATCTCAGTCCATCAAATGTGTTCCATGGGAAGGAGAGAACCAATGGATGGTGCATACAGGTTTTCAGTTTCTCTAGTTTTGACTACTTTTTATTTCTTGTGTGCTGCTAAATATCTCATAGGGTAAGCTTCTGCTACATTCTAAAGGGTTGTGATCTGGTCTTAGTTTTTCACCTTCACAGAGATGCTGTGGTTTTCAGGAAGTTACCAACCCCCCGGAATAGTATGTTAGATTTCAACCACCTTGTATACTTATAATCATAAGACTTTGGAGCTCAAAGAAACTGAAGAAATTATTTATTTTCTCTTTGTCCCCTTACAGATGACCCTTAGCAAAGTGATCTTTTTTCCCCTCAAAAACAACAAAGAAATAACCACACAGACACCATCAGCAAGTCTTAGCTCACACTGCTATTTTTCTTTTATGTAATCAACTTGATATGTCAGTCAAAATGGTCTTGGGAGCTGAGTTTCTGGCATTTAGTTGGACTGTGCATGTGTGCTTGAGGCTTTGGCATCATCGTGTGCTGAAATGCTAAGTCGGCACCATTGACACTATGGGCTGGATAAGTCTTTGTCTTGGGGGGGGCTGTTTGTGCGCGGTAGGAAGTTTAGCAGCATCTCTGATGTCTCTCCCCACTGGATACCAGTAGCACCTCCCCAGATGTGACGATCAAAATGTCTTGAGATGCAGGGGCCAAAATGCCTCTCTTCCCACCTTGGAGAACCAGTACACTATGAGTGGAGACAGCAAACACTACCTAACAGCATCTTCTTCTGGAAGTTCTCAAGCAGATAACTGGTTTTTGTTCTTTAAAATGTGACGGCCTGTCTTCCTGCCTGGTTTCCAATTCTGGGCACCAACCATGGGACTGAACAAGATGGTATAGTGCACATCAAGCCCCGGAATCCTGGAGAGCCATTCTGGTGCTGTTGCTTCCCCTGCAATTCACCAGTGCCAGCCATAGACAAATCAGCAGGGAGGTAGCTCTGGCAGTTGACGCCATATGTCTGATGGGGATGGAGAGACTGAAAGATG